ACTATACAGAGTATAATAAATATAATGCACACGCATAGCATATTAATTCAATGTTTCAGTTCTACAAACGATATGGAAAATAAAGAAACAACTTCCAGTAGTATTGATATGGATGATTTTTATGGACCGTCAAAAAGGTGAGATTGGATCGAATTTGTTAATTAAATTTACAAATAAATCTAAATGTGGATTTTAATTACTTATTTCATTTTAATATTGAAATTACTCACAGTATTTTAGGAGTTTCATTGATACTGAAAAATGTAATATGGAGACAGACTTGGGCCTTAATGTAAAATCTAATTCTCCTAAAAAGGAGGTGAGTTTTGGATAAATTTTGTATAAGATTATTTCAATCTTAAACCAGTTTTAATATTTTTCTTTAATGTACATAAATTGATTATTCTAGATGTTTAAATGACAATGAAGAAAAGAAGGAAAGTATAGATATAGAAAATGCACCTTCGAGCACCATTACAGCATCAGAAACTGAAACTGTAGAGTTGTTACTTGGTGATAATACTTTTCATATGTTCCACGTAATATTTATAAAAAGTGAGTTCTTAGTTTAATTTATAAAAACAAGTATTATAACTATGAAAACCTAATTATATGTTTTAGAAATAAAACCATAGAAGACATGTCTAGCAGCGATTTTTCAACACCTGAAAGGATCAAAAAACATTTTAGAGTGTTAAAAAATACTGTTAAGAGTCAAAAAAGTAAAATAAAGTATTTACAACAATATGTAAGAAGAATGAAAACAAAAATTACATCCTATCTAAAATGATTAAAGATTTATAAGAGCCCGACTTATGTCCTTTCTGGTTGAAATGAACATTTTCTTACAAAGTCAGTTCAGCTTTTTATCTAATAAATGTACCAGTGATGCTATGTTTTCTGTACTACATGAGGTCTATTAAGCACTAAACAATAATATTTACGTTGCCACTGTTTTTTTGAGACTATGCCAAATCTTTTGATTGTGTAATTCACGACATTTTGATAAACTAAATTAACTAAATTCCTACGGAATTCGAGGTATTTTTTGAATTGGTTCCAATCTTGCTTGAGAAATAGGAAACAAGCAGTTAGAGCAAATAATACTGACTCTACACACAAAAGCATGTATGTAGAGTACCGCAATATTGAGTACTGGGTCCTCTACTTTTTCTTATATTTAGCTTTTCATGCAAATAAAACTTCTGATCAACTTAAAATAAAAACCTGGTCCGACTATAATTTACTTTCTTTTAACATGAATAAGACAGTAGCATTATCCTATAAAGGAGCTCTTCAACCCTTGCTTCTTAATAACAGCCAGATCAGTATCGTTGTTTCTTTAAAATTTCATGGTATTTTTACAGACAGCAACCTTAAATGGTTCCTTTATATCGATTTGTTAAGTAAGAAACTAATCTCAGCCAGCTATGCAATACGATCTGTTTCGAAGCTGAATTTAGCATCTTTCAAAATAACATATTTTTCTTTGTTCGAGTCTCATCTTCGATGTGGTCTTCCTTTTTGCGGTTTTAGTACAGCTACCCAATATAATGTTATTTTTAAATTACAAAAAAGAGCAACACGGTATCTTTTTGGCCTCAGTAAAATAATACATTTTAGAAGCTACATAAAAAATCACGGGGTTTTAACTTTTCCCTCTTTGTATATTCTAGAAACTGTTTTCTTAATTGGTAAATACCTACATGTTTTTTCAGCAAGACCCAATCATGAATTTTCCACCAGAAATTCAACCTTTGATATGTATTTATCGATTTCGTCCACTGAGGACGTAAATAAATCTATATTATATTCGATTATATCTACATATCTATATAAAATCGATTATATCTATATAAAAAAATTATACAATTAATTTCCTTTGCAACTTAAATCTACAACTTCTTTCCTTAAGTTCGGTAAATTAACAAAAGCCTATCTATCTGAAAGACCATATTATTCAGTGGAAGAGTTTCTTAACGAGAAATTAAGAAATTACAGTACGTTTAGGTACAAGCAACTAAAGTATTATATATTTGGGTATCAAATGCAGCAACTAAAACTCATTCGTAAACTCCTAAGGTTTTATTATGCAATTTGCAATTTAGTTAGATTTTGCAATGAATTGTAAATTTTATTATCTTTTATTATATTACATTGACCATTTTTGTAATTTTAGTAAATTTTAATTGTTGTTATTTTTTTTACTTTTTGTAAGTTTTGTTCATAAAATTGTACAATTTTCAGTGATAATAAAGCATATTTCTATTTTAGAAACCTACCCCATCCATAAGGTTTAATGTGTTTATATATTGTTGTATATGTGGTTTGTTCTTCATGTTTTGTTAAACAATAGTTTATGTTTTCTTACGTTTATTAATATTTTCTTAAATACATATTCCTGAACTTTTATCTTTCTTCTGCCTACTGCTATGTCTAACATGACTTCTAATGTTGCCAAATAACAATTAATCTGGAGATATAAACCATAATTCACTACATTTTTTCAACGTATCACTCACTGGATAAGAGAAGAACTACTCAATACCCTGAACAGGTTAATGTATGAGGAAGAATTTTTTAAACTTTTTATTACTTGTGTATTATTTTAGTTTAAATAAAATATTATATAAAGTACTTTGCGATTTTATTTATCTCATCTTTATTCTTTTGTATAAATCAATTTTTATAAATATATTTATTTCTATATACTGAAAATTAAAATTATTCATCGTTCGTTGTTTCTCAGTTATTCGAAATATTTTATATGTTTACGATACTAAAAATAAAAGCAACCAAACCAATAGTCATTATTTATTCAAATGAAAAAACTGTTTCAAATATCTTTCAATTATTGGAAGGTACGCCGATGACTTAAAAGGAAATGTCACAGTCTATCACCTCGCCTCTTTCCCCGCGCCTATAAACTTTTCGACTTCAAATTTAGGCGAACAGAGTGCATGGCATGCCCAGTCCATATTTATTTATACGTCCATGGTTTTCTTTCGTTAGACTATATTAAATTATTTATAGTTCTACACTACCTTTAATGGTTATTAAATTCAGTGTTTAGTACCAGAAAAGTATTAAATTCAGTGAATTAAGCTGCCCTCGTCAAGATCTACTGTAAGTAATTTTATCTACAATTATCTGGGCGAGTAATATGGTATGGTACCATATCACCTGCCATTATCTGGACGTATCATCTAAATCTTCACCTGAAGATTGCCGATTTTTGAATGCAATTGAACCATTCAAGAAATTTCTATAAATATTACCTATGAACATACAAGTCTCAGTTTTTTATTAAATAATAGTGCGAGATAGTTAATTGACTTAGCCAAGTGCGGTTTGGTTTATGTTTTCATTCTTGTAACCTTTTTGTTTTTTTTTTGTAAATTTAGAGTTAAGTAATTTTTGCTATCTTTTGTATTTCCTATAATTTTTGTTCATTATCTTTCCTATGATATCTCGAGATACGCCAAACTATATTTATATATGATTGCCTTATACATCTTGGTAAAGGTATTTTTTTATTACATTATAGCTTAATTTTATACATATATAACACCATTTCATAGTTCTGTATTTTTATTACCTGGGTTGCATTTGGCAGCATCATAATTTTGTGTTTAATATATTGTTATTGTTTTATGCATGTATTTTATTTGTCGGCTCCTAACAAGTTCCCTGATAAAATAATAGATCTGAACAATTACTATCTTTGAATATTACTATGCTTTTGACCAGTAGAAAGATCAGGCTGATTAAGTTTCGTAGGTAAGTAAGTGTAATACCTAATATATTTATTATTTGTTTATATATTGCGTTGACCAGATTTATTTGATAATTTACTGTTGGTATCTTTCCTTGGGTTTGATCTCTGAATCTAAATATCTTTTCTTATCTCTTTTCTTTTCTTAAAGGTTTTCTTAATTTTCTCCTTAACCCCAAAAAATTGAGTGGCGCCCTGTTTCTATCTTCTCTTATCTTTGGTAATTTTACCCATCTATCTTTTTGTCTATTTCTGTATCTTTTCTAATATCTCTTATCCTATCTTTACCTATTTCTTCCGTTGGATCCATTCCCGGTTCCAAAAGCTAGTTTCGAACCCACGACTCGCTCTCCACCAACCATCTGGCTGCCGTCAGCAGTGTCTCCATTGGTTATCTTTCTAGCACCACCCAAAAAAGATTTCCGAGGTTACAACGTAAAACATTTGACCAATATGTGTTGCCTGTGATGACCTATGGTGCCGAAACTTTGACATTGACAGCTCCAATTTCTAAAACGCTGCAAATAGCTCAGAAGAAAATGGAAAGGTCAATGCTGAGTATATCGCTTCGTGACCGAACTGGAACTTAATGAAAACTTAAGACGAAGAACAGGAGTTGCCGATGTAATTTCCCGAATTGCCACACTGAAATGGAACCGGGCCGGACACGTCGCCCGAATCAGTGATGAAAGGTGGACGAAGAGATTGTTTGAGTGGAGGCCGAGGTTAGACAAAAGAAGTATAGGAAGACCCTTACTCGTTGGACTGAAGATCTCAAGAAAATGTCAAGAAATTGGATGAAAAGTGCTCAAAATAGTGAATAGTGCACAAGGGGTTGGGTGATGATGATGAAAGTAAATAGAATAGAGAACCGAAGAATGTCAAAGGCTTTTGATGTAATCCAATAAAAAATAACACAACATATACAAAAATAAAAACCTGCTTAGCGAGAAAAAAAACAAAGATAATAAAGGCACATGAAATGCATGATAACAGCTGTCACATAATTTATTGTAAATTAATTCAAATGCAGAATTTACCAAACAACTGACGCTCTCAACGATCAGATTTCTTTTATGCTTGTTTACCTAATGATCAAAAATGAATATTGCGTTGATAAAAAAAAACACAGTAATCTCCTATACTAAAAATCACATCAAACAACAATCGATAGAAATTCCACAGATGTTATATAGGTACCTAGCGTTTCGGACTGAATATATTTGAGATTTTTACGGTTTTTAATATAGTTGCATTTAGTTAAATAATAATTTTGTACTTGAACTTGTCCAATAATTTATTAGACAATACGGAATATATTATCATTGTTTAAAAGTATTCTATTAATGTGAGTAAGTTTAAACCTACAGTATACAGAAGATTAATTGTCTAAGTTCTGAATCAACAAATTTTTAAAAGTAAATACTAAAACAGTACTTATTTAAAATGACGGACAAAAAATATGCATTTACAAAACTTAACATGACAGCTACACCAGTCGAAGATGATCAAGAAAAGAAGCAGAAGACCAGTGTCAAGTTTGACAACATTGCGGTTAATTTGAAATTTAAGGTATTTATAACTCTTTCTTTTGAATAGCTTTATTTTTAATAATAAATAATTTTCTATTTTAGAACAAACAAAACACTTCGACATGGAGCAACTTTTGGAAAAAGTTGAAGATCTTATCGCCATTCCTCTGGCCAAAGAAGGACTTTGTGTTACAATTCAAAGTACTAATTTGTTTTATGTTATTGGGTGGCGGAAGAGTGGTAAATTTGTTCGTTCCCATCTATCAAAAGTTAATCGGTAAGTTCTTTTTTGTATTACATTAATTCCGATGATCAATGATCAAATTTAACTGGACATTAAGGCGGAAATACACCATTCAATTCGGTTGAGCAATGTGGATGATTCAATTACATTGTTCAATCAAATTGAAAAGCATACATATACAATTTATTCTTCATTCAATTCGGTTGAACAATGTGGATGATTCAAAACGTACGTACGGAACTTATTATATCACAAGTCAAAATGAAAAGATTCTAACTCGATGAAATAAACGGTTGAATCGAACACAATCGACAAAACTTGTTTATAGACGAGTCAATGTGGATGAATCATCCCAGTTGTACAACGAAGTTGAACGAAAGTAGAAGTTATCTCAACTCCTTTCAACGTTCAATTTTGTTGAACGCTTTTATTGAATTGCAAAATACATGTCATGGTTCATTTTGGTTGAATCATCCACATTGTTCAACCGAATTGAATGGTGTATTTCCGCCTTTACTTATCCGATATAAGTTAATTAAAAAATAAGGCAACTATCAATTATTGTAATTGTTACTGTGCTGTGTTATTTTCTTATTTTTAAGTACGTATTATGTATTCCCACTTTTATACGTTTATTATGCTTGGGCAACACTTTCTTGAAATGTTCCTTTAGAATATATCATTAAAAAATTATAATGACATATACTGGCCGGCATTCACGAGATTCAGAAATAAATCAAAAACGCATACGCGTTACATAAAGAAGTAATATACCTTTTATCAAGGAAAAAATTTAAGAGGGATATATTTATAAAAATATGAAATTTAATTTTTACGTCAAAATGCAACAAACAATACACTATATTATCAAAATAACAAAACAGACCAAAAGCATCGAATACTGAGATATAAATATGCATAGGGGAGACTTGCCCAGTACCGGACACCTAATGCTTTTTAAAAAAAATTTTTTTAAGAAACATATACGAAATGTAAATGTAATATGTTTATTACTCACACAAAAATTAATATTTAGTTTATTTTTTGTTGTGCTACAGAAACACTTGCCCAGTACCGGGCACATTAAAAACACGTTAATTGCATGGGTAGCATAATGAAATACATATTTTTAAAAATATTTTGTGAGTTATGTAAATATTTTTAAATTTTCACATTTATAAAAAATTAGATTTACCTGATTCGTGCACACCACGTGCACCCACCCCTTGAATGTAATGCACTGAACCCAATCTTCATTTGTAATTTCTCCACAGATGAAACACGCGGTAGTTTCTTCTTCTTTAGTGTTTATTTCGAAACTCCACTACTTGGTATCGTTGACGTGGAAAGTTGTCTATTCACTCTTGTGCCTATTCATTTACACTTGTATATTCATGAAGACTCTTCTTTTGTTTTTTTCTTTATCCAAACTGTTTGATTTGGTTTTTTCTGGCTCGTTGCCCTTTCTTTTCTTTTTTCTCTGCTGCCTTTTTGTTCTTTCCTTGTGATTCCTTAAACCATTTCTCCGTTATGGTTTTATGAGGAGATCCAGTCAAAATCTGACTCTTTTTACTTCATCTCTTTCTTTGAATAATTTTCTTGTGTAATTTTCTTTTCTAATTTTGTCCGTCACAATTTGAAATAATTGTCTGGGGCTCTGACGTCCATTTCAGTAGCTAAAGGTAGAGCTGTCACAGTAGAGATACTTGATGCCGAAGATGTGCAGGGCGGAAAAACTGAAACTGTGGAACAAGATTTTGGTATTTTGTCAGAAGAGTTAGATAAAACTGCATCAAACCCTGTCTGTTTCAGCCAACGGTGGTTCAGATGAAGGCGTTGCTGTGTAGAGGACTTTGTCATTATGGCTTCATAGTCTAGATCTGTAAAAATAGTCTTCAGCAATGAGTACAAAACAAGTGCAGGCAAACCTAGACCTTGCAAGTTCCATCTTACAAATAGCTTGGAAAACTGTTTTAACCAATCCACTCGTGTTTTTTTTTGTTATTTTAAGCGGGCGATATTCGTTCACCCACTTGGTATCTCATTGTAATTGTAGGCAGCCTTAAAGGGTCTAATTATTGCTTAGTCAAGAGGCTGAAGTTTATGAGTGGTGTGAGGGGGTAGACTTATCATGTGAGCATTGTGGTCTCTCGTATAAATAATTACTTGTAGTTCCTTGTGAGAAATGTTGCCATCAAGTATCAAAAGAGCCGGACTTTCCTTAGTGGGATTCACTTGCAACAAATATATTTTGCCAAATCAAAAATGAATTGGCAGTGATTCACCCACTTTGTTCACAAGCAAAATTACTCCTCCGGAGCATCCTTCTTTAATTCTTCTGCCATTTTGACCCTATCAAATACAAATAATGAAGATAAAAATATATCACCGTCGCGTTGATAGATAGTAGCACAGTTACATTTGTGCCTCTCTCTCCCGATGTGATTTTACTAACCTGCTTTTTTCCTTTCTGTGATAGAAACATTGAGGCATTATCATGGACCACAGAAACTCCCGTCTTATCGCAGTTAAACACCTTTGGGGGTATTAAGTTAAATTTTGATAGCAGTGCTTGATATTTGTTGAAGAAGAGGACCACTTGTGGTTTGTTAAAACCGACAGCTCTTTAAATAGTTGTTGACTGGTTTTCGCAACGAAAATTGGTGATGGTGGCTCAAAAATTCATAATAAAACTCGCCTCTTGCAATCTTTTTTCTTTATTAAATTGGTGCGGAATTTTCAAGTGCTCAGGTAACTCAAAAGCAAAGCTTATAAACTCCTTTTTGTTCATAGACATCATCGTGTTGTATACATCTAGTAAATGCTCAACTAATTTGGTTTCTATCTCTTTGGAAATGTCGTCTTAAAATAACCCATGAGTGGCTTTCTATCCGGTGTATATCCAAATTTTTTATTCACCATTAGGGATCCGTACTTTATCCCGCGGGTCAGGACGGAAGACAGCGATTTTTGCTGCGGGACTCGTGCTTTTTTCCGTGGGATGTCCAGCATGTCCCGCAAAAACTACACTTTTATTGTTATCGGAATGATTTGGTTATTAACGTTATACAAGTATCTGCATTATGTTTGCAACGTAAAAATATTTATAGAAATTAAAGGGATTTCTGTTTTAATAAATCATATTGATGAAAAATAATTAATACATTTAAAATAAAAGAAAATTTTAAAATATTTTCGTCAATTCTTTTTGATTTACTGCGATGCACGCCTGATATGCAAAAATTGTTTTAGTTTAGGTCCTCCCATCTAGCAAAAAGACATAAGAGGGAATCTAATCGTTATGAAAAAGAGACTAAAAAAGTGGCCTCTGATGGCGGACATATCCGGAAATGCATGCCGTGTTGTATACATCTAGTAAATGCTCAACTAATTTGGTTTCTATCTCTTTGGAAATGTCGTCTTAAAATAACCCATAAGTGGTTTTTCTATCCGGTGTATATCCAAATTTTTTTATTCACCATTAGGGATCCGTACATTATCCCGCGGGACGGAACGGAAGACAGCGATTTTTGCTGCGGGACTCGCGCTTTTTTCCGTGGGATGTCCAGCATGTCCCGCAAAAACTACACTTTTATTGTTATCGGAATGATTTGGTTATTAACGTTATACAAGTATCTGCATTATGTTTGCAACGTAAAAATATTTATAGAAATTAAAGGGATTTCTGTTTTAATAAATCATATTGATGAAAAATAATTAATACATTTAAAATAAAAGAAAATTTTAAAATATTTTCGTCAATTCTTTTGATTTACTGCGATGCACGCCTGATATGCAAAAATTGTTTTAGTTTAGGTCCTCCCATCTAGCAAAAAGACATAAGAGGGAATCTAATCCTTATGAAAAGGAGACCAAAAAAGTGGCCTCTGATGGCGGACATATCCGGAAATGCATGCCGTGTTGTATACATCTAGTAAATGCTCAACTAATTTGGTTTCTATCTCTTTGGAAATGTCGTCTTAAAATAACCCATAAGTGGTTTTCTATCCGGTGTATATCCAAATTTTTTTATTCACCATTAGGGATCCGTACATTATCCCGCGGGACGGAACGGAAGACAGCGATTTTTGCTGCGGGACTCGCGCTTTTTTCCGTGGGATGTCCAGCATGTCCCGCAAAAACTACACTTTTATTGTTATCGGAATGATTTGGATATTAAAACTATACAAGTATCTGCATTATGTTTGCAACGTAAAAATATTTATAGAAATTAAAAGGTTTTCTGTTTTAATAAACCATATTGATGAAAAATAATTAATACATTTAAAATAAAAGAAAACTTTAAAATGTTTTCGTCAATTCTTTTTGATTCACTGCAATGCACGCCTGATATGCAAAAATTGTTTTAGTTTAGGTCCTCCCATCGAGCAAAAAGACATAAGAGGGAATCTAATAGTTATGAAAAGGAGACCAAAAAAGTAACCTCTGATGGCGGATATATCCGGAAATCCGAATGCGCCAAATTTAAATTTTCCGAGACTTATTAACAGTAGCTAAGAAATAGTTTTTAGAATGTGTCTTAGACGAGAAAGTAACAGTCTAAAATGTGACACAATTGTTAAAAAACTTCAATTTAAATAAGATTTCATGTGACAGTTGGGACAAACAATAACATAACCCAACTAAATATGATTCTTAAACAAGGAAAGAGTCTCTTTCCTTGTTTAAGATATGGCCTCTCAAGATGGCACTTCCTGTCTAACAATATTTTTGCCCCCACTACCTTTATATTCCCCCTTTTGTCTTTTTGCTCGATGGGTCCTTCTAATAAACCGTCACCTGATTTTACGGCGACCCGATGATGATAGCTTTGAATCCAATGGTGCACTAGACATCAAAAGAATTTACGTTTCCCTTACTTTCTTCTGTGTCAGTAATTCAAAATTATTACTATTCAGAATCCAAGAAGCAGTATGGGATTCACTAAAAACTAATAGTAGTTAGAAAACTTAAAAAACTGCAAAAAGTTACAGACTTACTACGAGGGGAAAAGTATGTCAGGCTTCCCAGTG